GGCTGTGACTGGCTTATCTCACATACGCATCATGTCCTCAAGGTTCATGCGTGTTGTAGCATGTGTCAGCATTTCTGTCCTTTATAAGGCTGAATAATATTCATTGAACGGATATACCGCATTCTGCTTATCCATGTATACATTGCTGGAACCACAGTGATGTTTGTTAAATATTACCACTCTTAGAAACTGACAGTAACTTGTTCCCATCATTCTTAGGATAAAGCTAAAAGTCTTTATTATGGTTTACAGGGCCTCTACCTAACAGTGCAGCCTTCATTCTGCTTACGTGCCCTTGACTCTCCACTTCAGTCAGGCTGCCTGACCTTGCCCCAGTCTTTTCCACATCTGATCTCTGCCTCAGCTTTTCCCTAGGCCGATGGCACCATTTTTTGTAGAATAAGCCCAACCTGTTCCTCAGGACTCAGTTCAGGATGTCACCTCCTTCAGGACACTTTCCCCCTTTCGTCCAGGCTGGGTTAGGTATCCTCTTTTTTGTGCTGGCAGAATCCCCTGAACTTCTCTTTACCAATGCATTGGTCACTCTTGGAGTGAAGACGATGTTGTAATTATCAGTTTATTCCTGGAGTCTACTATACTTTTATGCTCAATACATTTCTGTTGAACGAATGAGTAATGGCGTGGGCAAAGATCTGGGGGCATAGACGATGCGGGCATTGAGGCAGTGGCCTGTGTGTGTGACTACCTCCAGGCCACCAAACGTGAAGGGGCGATCCCGTGTCGCCCACTGAACGCTGGCTCCCTTCACACCCATGAATGAGGCGTTTGGTGCTCACAGTGGGAGTCGTGATGCACTGAGACCCACATTCCTCAGCCCTCAGCGGTTAGGGGTTTTGGTATTTTCAGCTTAGCTTTACTCGTTTGCTCTTTTGGTAAATGATGCTGACACCCTTCCTGCCTCTGTTCTCTACCAATTCTTTCCCTCCCTCTACTCCCCCTACTCTGAACTTAGAAATAAAGTCATAGGTTTAGGTCACTTAAACAAAAATGAGACTTTATTCTGTGAAATAAGTGTTTCGTTTGTAAAAGGATCAATGGGCTATTTTGGATCAAATAACTGTGTTTTCTTTAGCCATTTAAAAGGGTCTATTTTCATTTTTTGAAGCCATTGCCTTGTGAAAGGACCTAAGAATATCCCCAACTTCGTGTTAGATCCCATAATTACGTTTTCCCATTTTGAAAGCAGTTATGCAGTCCTTACAATAAGAGTCAGTGCAGCTAAAAATAAACCTCAGGCAGTTCATATTAACTGGGTAATAATAACAGGCAACTAGGAGGCTCGGTGTCCAAATATGATGAAAACAGGAAGTTCATTACACAAGCTGTTCTTTCCTGATAGATCTGAATTCTTAAAGCCTTAACTCAAAAATAATCCCTTCAGGTTATAAATAAAAGCAGAGAATTGTCTCTTACTTGTGGCTTAATGGGGATGATAACATTGTAGCTAAATAAATCCACATGGTTATGGTTGAATGTAGCACTGGAACGTCTGTGCTGGGAGAGGAGAAAGTGAGTTTGCAGGCCCCTGCCCTCTCAGACAGGCAGCTTTTCTTATCCTGGGCACAAGTTGCCAAGGAGATATCGCTTTACTTGGGTACAATGATAGGAAAGCAGAACACCTTCAAGTGTGGAAAGTGCTTTTAGCCAGGCCTGCATGGCTCAGTGGTTGAGCATTGACGTGGAGGTCACGGTTTGATTCCTGGTCAGGGCTCTATCTCCAGTATGGGGCGTGCAGGAGGCAGCCAATCCATGATTCTCTCTCATCATTGATGTTTCTTTCTTTCTCTCTCTCTCTCTCTCTCTCTCTCTTCCTTCCTCTCTGAGATTATAT